TATCAAAGAGTTTAAAAAAGATCCAGCATATCCCCCCCAACATTGTGGTTCCTTATTTCCCCCCCCTCGGAAGGATGGAAGGCTGAGTCAACCCTGAGCCGGTGAGATTTGAACCGCTGACCTGCTGATCTAGCAGTAGCCTGCAGTGCTGCATTTAACCACTGCGCCACCTTGGATCATAATGTCCTATGATCCTCTTCAGCACATCAGCACAGTATTTAAGGTAGTTTTCTGCAGACTATTCTTACATAATATACTTACCTACGTTTTTGCTGGTGTGTGGCTAAATGAAAATTGATTGCTTACCTGTGACTAATGACACCAGCATCTGCCAACAGTTCAAATATTCGTACAAGTTGCACACGTAATATATCTCGCCGCCTACGTCGTTTCATATTCTGTTTTAGAAATTAAAGGAAGCAGCATGATAAAGGTACATTGATATTTGATATCAGCACAGTAACATGCAAGTTTGGACATTTAACTTCCATCTGTTTGCACAGATAAACAATATGATGCTTTGTTTTGTAACACTGATAATTATTGCATAAATTTGGCATTTTTGCCAAAAATGGGAATTTTAAAAGCTAAATCATAAAACGTGTTATTTCCTGCCAGAACAATATTAGGGGTCTTTGGTGCTCTTTGAGATTGGCTGTTTTCTTGCAGATCTTTCATTACCCAAACTAGGTAATGTCATTGGTACCAATGATGTTATCAAGTTTGGGTAATGAAATGCCTGCAAGAAAACAATTACACTTGGCAAGCATCAAGGACCACCCTTCATCCCTGAAGTACAAATATTCTCCTTTATCAGCAAAACAATTTTAGACATGTAGACATATATATTTATATGTCATGCTGGACTATTATTACTTTAATCTACCGTATGCAAACTTTACCAAGATAAAGGCCTTATTTAAAACACAATGAACAGTAAAAGGAAATCCTATGCAAATCACCTGGATGCGGAGAAAATTTTTTTTAGGACAATACATTTAATCTTACCAAAGAAACAAGTATTGTGCAATTCTTTTATTGAACAACATGTGAAAATTTAACCATTTGTACTTCAACATTAATTCTCACAGGTCAAGATACATTGGGTTTACGTGTGGCTCATAAAAAGTAAAAAAGAAAAAGCTCTAATGGAAACTTTCAAATCACAAAATGTGCAAACTCTTATATTATTACTCCTATAATTCTGCCCATGGTTAAGGCATAAGATGGAAACAAAATGGGTAAATCAACAACGGGCAACTCCAGCAGCATTCTGTGATAAAGTAAAATCTACCAAATCACAGCTAGGTCAATTAAACTGAGGCCTTTGTCATTTACTTGGACAAGCCAGTCCTGTATGCTGTTACTGACTCTGACATAAGCTGCTCTCCTGCTGTATGCCTTCATGGGCATCTTTATGCGATTTCCTTGGAATTAATATTATCATTGATTTGCTAAGGCCATCTTCCTGGAGGCTTTTTCAGCTTCCAAACCTGGGCTGGGTATTCCCCTGCAGGTCTTCCACCAAAGTACAGGTAGTCCTTGATTTATGACAACAATGGAGAGCAAAATTTCTGTTGTTAAATGATTTGTTAAGTGAGTTTTGCTCCATTGACTTTGCTTGAAAGCACCTGAATTTTGATCACATGATCAACGAAAGGCTTCAAAGGTCATAAGTCACCTTTTTCAGTGCCGTTGTAACATTGAATGGTCATTAAATGAACTGTTAAAAGTTGAGGACTACCTGTACTCATTAGGCACAATCCTGCTGAATTTGCAATCCCCAGGGAAAGTCATCCAGCTCCTGATGCCTGCTAGGTGTCCTCTTTCCCCAATTAGGGGCTTTTCAAATATGCTGCTACTTCAAAGGCCACTGTGTAAAATCTGATTTGCTACAAATTTTAAGGCTTCCCGTTTAAGATTTAGAACTTAGAGTAACTTTATTGTCACTTTGAGTGTACACTAATTGGCATACATTAAATTGAAATTTTGTTGTATACAGCTCTCAAAGGATTACCATGTCCAATATACACTATATAAATGTGACAAAATAAACACAAAATTATGCATATACTCACATATATTATATGACACAGAGAAACAACACACTTAAGTTTAAATTAGAAATACAGAAGTTACTGGATACTCAACATAGTTTGTAAAATATTTATTACCTCTGGCCTTCTTTCAAGTGCTTCTTTAATTATAGGATGCAACTCTTCTATTAATTCCCTGTGTAATAATTACAGATCAGTTTTGGAATACTTTAAATTCAACAGTTGTATTTCTAAATATTACATCCATAAATATTTACATATCAACCTCATGGTCTCCCCCCCCCCCAGCCCTCACACGCACTTATGATAACCATAGAAAAGTATAATTTTAAGTATAGTTGTGTAATTTACTAATAGTATATAACAGGCATTATAATCCCGCCAACAAACAATTGAACATATTCAATTTCCTCCCCCCCCCCCAAAGTATACGTTTTTCGTAAGAAATACCATGTTTCCCAAAAAATAAGACAGGGTGCCATTTTCTTTTGACCCCTGAAATAAACACTTATTTTCAGGGAGGTCTTATTATTTTTGAGGTGCAGGAGGAGACGAGCGTGGTCACCTCATGGCTGCTGCTGTGTTGCAATATTTTCGGGGAGAGCTTATTTTAGCACATGTGCTCAAAAACCCGATTGGGCTTAGTATCCGGGGAGGTCTTATTTTCAGGGAAACAGGGTATATAGGAGAAGAATATTTAAATAATAATTTTAAAAACTAAGATTCCAGCATTATGTTAGCCGCCATCAGAATGGGTGAGGTCATCCATTGGTAAAGTGGTAGTATTTTGTGACGCACATTGCTTGCCTTTAGTTTTCCAGATCCTTAAGCCTCACTTCCTCAAATACCCCTCATGATATATCCTTGCTCCATCCAGTTTGATGTGCAGTCTTTAATATATCACACAAAGCCTGGACCAACCCATTAGGGGGTAGAAATTGGATGGACTTCCTTTATGAAGGAACCTAGATGCTTCCTACTCTAGAATTGGGGCAACAAGCAGAGCCCGTTCTCTAAAGGACAAATGTTTGATTTCCCTCTTCTCCAAGCGCTACGACTAGTAATATTCACTAGAAAGAAGATTAAGATTACTGTACAGGAATTACAGAAAGAAAGAAAAACTGTTTTTTTTCTTTCATTTTTATGATGAAAGGAATTGAAAATGTATCTCTTTTATAAAACGGGATACTAAAAATATGCTGGCTGTTTTTAGAATTGCCAATATTTCTTATCAATGTGAGAAGAAACTCCCACAATGTATAATTCTTGAACAAGAAATATGATGGGATCAAAAGGCGACAGGTTGTGTTGCTAAGCAATATGACTCGGCCACCAGAAAGTTCTATCAACTCTAGGGTTTCCCACTCACTTTACTATTTGTATTTATTTGCATACTATTTAGCATTAGGAAAAACAACAAGATTTGTTTTACAAAAGGATGGGATTGTTGTGCTTTATTTTCTTCCAAGCCAGCAGCAAAAATAGATACTTTTAAAACATTTACCTAAAAGCCCCTGGGCTCGTTCTGCCAAGACCCAACACAAGGGATTCTGTAATTTCCATGCTCTCAGAGCGCATCATTGGAACAATGTGCTTAAACAAAGATGAAGGGGATGGTACACCAATTATCTGGAAACAAAAAAAGGCAATCCAAGTTCACTTAGTATCATAATCAGATTGGTGTTAGGTTAAACGGCAATAATGCTCAAGAAATTAAAGACAGGGAGGAAGAATTATAAAGCATCCCTGCACATACAAAGATTCTGTGGTATACAAGGTTTCACAAGTTATTTGAATGTTACAAACATATCTGGTATTTCCAATGTTTGCTTTAAAACTTGCTGTATGTTTTTCCTGGTACCATATGAATCAATTAAGCCCAGTGAAGAAATGATTTTCCCCCAAAAGCTAAACATTATTATACTGTATATTTATAGATATAAGCCAAAAATTACATGCTGAGTTTGTTAGTTAATCCATATTTTATGAATAAGTACATGGAATCTTGGTGCCATAAAACATTTCAATAAACACTTCTTCCAATGTCTTCAGCTTCAACTATTTTTCTTAAACAGCTTTTAAGAGGATTCTGAAACCCAATAACTTATCTATTTTGTTTATTCTACCCGTCACTTATTTCTTCACATCTAAATTATGGACTGCAAATTCTTGGGGAATATCTGTTTAACTGTTTTTTGTGAAGCATCAGGCACACCTGTTAGTACTGTATAAATTTAAAAAAATACTATTTCCCCCTATATTCTTTTCCTTGTTATTTTATGAGTAGGTACAGTTCTTCGGGTTATGTTAAAAATAAATCTGGGTTTTTGTGGCTCACTCGTAGCTGACTTCACAGTTGCATCTATGAAACAAACACAACTTCATTTCTGTACAGGTAGACGTGGACTTAAAACTGGTTGTTTAACAACCATTTGAAGTTACCAAGGTCTCAAAAAGAATGCTTTATCTATATATAAAAAAGCCAAATACTCGCTCATATGTAATCTCCAGAACTGTAAAGCCTACAAACTTGAAATTTGGCACGTATGTTCCTCTTGGCTTCTAGGCGCTTGCTAAGAAAGGATTTTTCAAAATGACCATCAGATCATTAGTATTTCTTATACAGTAATTAACACGCTCTGATGCTAAGGAGTTCTACTCCCCTTCCTCACCTGAAAAGAACTCTGTTCCAACTGCCAGTTGCCTTATATTAACATGCTCTGAAGCTAATGAGTTAGACATTCTACTCCCCTTCCCCACCTGAAAATAACTCTGTTCAGACTACCAATTGCCTCACATTCCTTACCTCAGTTCAAGATGGCAGACTTCGACTCCTTCACTCAGGAGCGGTATGGGGCTCCTTACAGTACTAAAAGTCGGTACCTCACCAAAATGTCTACGCCTTCCACCTATGGAACTGCTTCCAGACTGAAATTGTTGGGGGATATATTCCCTTATGTGTTTCAATCACCGACCACTAATAAACCAACGGATTGTGAACCAAATTTCTCCTGCATAGCCTGATCATATAGTTTCATTGTGAAGCCCGGATATCCAGCTAGTAGATCATAAAGCAGTTCTGGCCATTATAAAATGCTGTGCATCCTCCCTCCCCTACATAATCATGACCATGATCTGGATGCTTGGCAACCTGTTTGCACTTACAACCATTTGCCAAGCCATGCGATCACTATTTGTAATTTTTCTCTGTCAGCTTCTCCAAAACGTCAACTGGCAGGAAACATTGCAAGCAGCTGCTGCCTGCTGTGAGGACTCCCTCTTGTCTCTGGAGGTTGGCTGAAAGACCTGCCTGCCGAGAGGAGCTGAACTCCTTTGATGGGACGGAGAAATGGGAGCGCAAAACCTAGTCATTTCAGCTCGGCTTCTGCATTGTAAGTAAGGTATTTTCTTCTGCAGTGGGAGGAAAGATGGCATTCTCCTTTAAGGTCCATAAACAGAGCTCAGATCCTGATGGTTGGTGACAGGGTGCCTCAGGTTGGTGAGGGAGGTGCTAAGAGGCATGGTGCACACTATACACAAGAATCTCTCTCTCCCTCCCTCCCTCGATTTGTTGTGTGTTGTTTATACCTTAAGATTGGAACTATGATTTATGATCTATGACTTATCACTTTGTTGTTTGTACCTGAGCTTGTGCACCAGAGACAAATTCCTTGTGTCTCCAATCACACTTGGCCAAAAAAGAATATTCTATTTGATTTTATATGCTTTTAGCTGTAAAGTGCCCAGAGTCACTCTGTAAGTGAGATGGACAGTACCTAAATTTGATAAATAAAATAAATAAAATTATGGGATTCAGCTTTGACTATTTCCTCTGCAAAGACCAGCTTATCTGAGAGCTCGTGTATCCAAACAGTAACTCATTCATTTCTAATACAATTTGGAGCTTCACTAACAAAACTGACAGCTTAAGTGACAGTCAAATGGAATGAGCTTAAAATCAAAGCCCTGGGGATTCTTTTATTTGATAAGGTAAAATAAATATGACAAAATGAAATTTCAAATAAGAAAAAAATACAAGCATTCTTTTGCAGGGAAAACACATATAATAAATCATTTCTATGAAGAAAAGTAACAAGGGGGGGGCTTTAAAAAATTCTAGCTCTCCCTATGCTAAGCTTTCCCTACGCTGACAAATGCCATATTTTTCTGAGTATAAGACGCATCAAGGTTTTGAAGAGGAAATTTTTTTAAAAAAAGGTTTTGCACTCTGCAAACCTCCCAAAAACGGTCCGTTTTTCACGAAAATGGAGCCCCCCTTTTTTTTTTTTCAAAAAAAGGGTATGAATAGCCCTTAGGCGGCTTGTAGAATGCTCCTGGGGAGTGAGGAGCCATGAAAACGGGCCTTTGTTTTTTATCAAAGAAAGGGCATGGATAGCCTTTAGGAAGCTTATAGAGTGCTGCTGGGGGCGGGTGGGGGCAAAAATGGGCTATTTTTTGCTCATTTCTGACCTCCCCAACCCCCAAGAGCCCTCTGAAAGCCTTCTAAAAGCTATGCATGGCCATTTTAGTGAAGGGGGTGTGGTTTCGGGGGGCAAAAAAATGTTGTATTCAATGTATAAGACGCCCCCAGATTTTCAGCCTCTTTTTTGAGGGAAAAAGGTGCGTCTTATACTCTGAAAAATACGGTAGAACTTTTGAATTTAAAAAGGAATGACATTGGGTTTCTGAATTTTATTTCCAATAATTGAACAAGAAAATGAAACACAACAGCCGTACACTCTTGTAATACTTCAATAACGAGAAAACAAATCTAAACTGCATAAAAAGAACAGAAATATAAATCGCTTAATGCACTGGATGGACATACTTTTGAATCAATGCCATAGCCACTATCTGGAGTGGATGCCAGCGTCTCAGGAGGGGAGCATCTGACGGAACCTGTGGATGCAGAAGATGGCGTAGACATTGTGGCACTACAACAAAGAATCAGGTAGTTTCTCCAGAGCCCAATGTAGGAATCACTGCTGATGGCAGTATTTACTTTCTTGGCATTCACAGGGCTGCTGTTAAGGGAGGAAAAACAATGAAAGGTTTGAAGGAGAAAATGTTGTAATGCATTGAATATTTAAAGTTAAATGAGAATCAATGTTTAAGCAAAATATCACAACCGAGGTTTATATGTATATACTACTACAATAATTACTCTGGCCTAGGAGGAGATTTTAAAAGAATCTTTTAAAGATAAGAATTCCTAAAATATTGTTTCTATTGCAAGAGAACAACAAAGGTGGCTTGTTACAATTTCTCTGACTCCTGTGAAAACGCAGGTAATTGTTTAGTGCACTTATAGTAGTGATGGAAATTATTTTTACAGTCGATCGTTGCGTTTATGATTTGCAAAGCAAAGGAAATCTAAAACACAGTTGCTGTTTCACTTAGTGACTGCTTTGCAGTTGCTGGTTCCAATTTTGGTTGCTGGATGAGGATTATCTGTACTACAGTCAGCTATAAAGTTAGCAATTTAAGTTCAGCTATGTATTTGAAAATAATATTAAAATATGAATTGATAGCACTGCAAAAATAAAGTTTACTTTAGGATTCCACGTTCTTCTGAAAAATCCTACATTTTTCACTAAATTAAAATATAAGCAATTGTTTTCAGCCTGTTTTCTTCATATAGATGAAAGGACTTCATTGTATTAAAGGGTGACTTACTTTATGTCAACCTGGGGGGACAACAGTTGGAGCCTGGTATAAGCAAACATCCAAGCATAGCTCACGGCGGTGGGACAGTGCTTTGGAAGGTTTTCCTGTTTCATCAAACTGGAAAGGCTAATAATCCAGGGGTCCTGACCCTGAGACACATGTGCAAATATCCATATATGTGATGGACTGACGACATCAAATTGGTGGCTGATAGGAGAAGAGCTCCAGTCAATTAATGTTTGTAAATCTATTGAACTGGGACAGTACAATAACATAGTCTGTGTATGGAAACAAAAATAGATTCATTTAGCTCACCGAAAATGCTTTAAAGATGGTATCTGAAGCTACGGGCATAACATAAGCTAAGGCTATTCCCATTGCAAAATGAAAATGACTTATGTGGGAAAACAAAAACCAAGTACCATATTTGGAAAAAGATGAAAATATTCTTTTTAGGTAAATTCAGTCAGATCACAGTTTACAGAGCAATATTACACATTTTTCTTATTCTGCTCCCCTCTCCAACACAAATGCTCCCTCTTGTTAGAAATTACTAATTGTAATTAGTAATCATATTATTAACATTAGCAGAGGTGACATAGGAACTCGGAGATTTTCAAAGAAAATAAGAAAAGGCTGGAAAACTTAATTGTACACAATTAAGATATTGGTGTCATTACATCTCTGATGGTGAGAACACAAACAATTAGTCCTTCAGAAATAGCCCCATGCTGAAATGGCATATAGGGATGTGTGTGTGTGTGTGTGTGTGTGTGTGTGTGTGTGTATTCCTTGCTAGAATGGTTGAATGGATAAGAAGATTTCATCCCTGTGCTGTCAGTCCCTTTAGTCTTCGCTCTTATCAATTGTAATTGTCTTTATGTTTATCACTGCATCATTTGTAGGCTTCCCAAATCATGGTGAGATGGGTTGCATATAAACTTAATGAATAAAATGAAGACCTATATAGTTATTCTGAGATCAGACTGGTTCAGAAAGATAGGTAATGCCTTGCTAAATAAAATTTTATTAAATGCTACTTGCTGTCTATGCCAACAAAAATGTCAGGGAACATTCATAAATTGTGAACCTGATGTTTCAAAATTAGTTAAATCCCAATTGCAGAGCCTGGCTTTCTACTGTAATTCTCTGTTTAGATTTGATTTAACTTGTTCATTCCCATGAGTCATTCACAAGCTTTAATTTAAAGTGTGATTGAAACTTAAATTGCAATTTTCAAAGTATTTCAGTTTAGATCAGGGGCGTCAAACTCAATTTCATTGAGGGCCGCATCAGGGCTGTGTTTGACTTTGGGGGCAGAGTTGCGGGTGGCCAGCTCAACGTCACTTGTGTTGGGGGTGCCTGTAGGCCCAAGCGCTCTGCCAGTGAAAATGGGCTCCCAAGCTTTGTGTTCGGCTGGGACGGTCTCCGGCAACCCTCTGCCAGCAAAAACGTTTTCGCTGGCAGAAGCATTGCAGGCCAGATTTAAGCACTCTGCAGGTTGGATCCGGCCTCGGCACCCCTGGTTTAGATGATAACAGCATACTAGAGGCATCTCATTCCAGAACTTGGATGATCTCTCAGTCTATTACAGCATAAAAGTTCAACCCTCTCTAGAGTCTACAGCAGGGGTGTCCAACCTGTGGGCCATGAGGGGATTGTAAACGAGCCACGGAAATGGACGGTGAATGCACACACGCATTCTCCCTTGTGTAAGCAGTGAGCAAGTGCATGCTCACGGGCTGCATTTACGTTGAAAATGAGCAGCAACAGCTATTATATAGACAAAAGACACCCAAATTTTCAGTTTTAAGTGAGGACTAGGGATAGCATTGAAGAAAAGTAAATATTCCAATGTCATTTGCCAAAGTAAGCTGCCCCTTACTCAGACTGATTATTTTATCAACCAGAAAGATAATCCTAAATTTAATACTTCATCAGCATCATCCTTCAAACAATACAGAAAGGAAGAAATATATAAAAATTTGCCCACCTTTTCAACCTACCAATTGCCAACTTCTACAGTACCCTCCCCCATGCAAATATGTGAGCGTTGTACTTGTATTCAAGTATGTGCTTGAAGCTACCCTTTAATAGCTATGCATTAAAACTATTACCTGTAAAATAAACCACTATGTATAACATTATTTCCCTATGTGCATATAGTGATCATTCTCTCTTACTCACAGAAGCAAAGAGACTCTTCCCTCCTTCCAGAAGAAAACCAGTAAAATATAAGGAAAAAACAGCATGTTGAGATGGGGAAAGGGAAGGGATAGTTGCACTAGAAGGGAAATGAAGAGAAAGTGATGAACCAAACTTGATGAGGTGAGAGAAAGAGGCAACTAAACGGAAAAAAAATACAGGAGAGAAAAGGAATGAGGCCGGGCCCGGCCATTTCCATTTTTGAAGCCACGTCTGCAACTATTTGCATCTCCCACCCATTCAATCATTGCCAGCAGCATCTACTATTCTCAATGTCTATGGAGATTCTCAGTCAACCAGGCCATGATTATCCCAAAGGTATTTTTTCAAAAGGCAACTGGACTTTGTTTTTCCTTGAAGAAGTCTTGCTTCTCATCCGAGAAGCTTCTTCAGTTCAGAACTGAAGAAGAACTGAAGAAGCTTCTTGGGTGAGAAGCAAGACTTCTTCAAGGAAAAACAAAGTCCAGTTGCCTTTTGAAAAAATACCTTTGGGATTACAATTCTCAATGAACATCATCTCTCCATTCGTGTAATCATGGGAAAGGGTCAATATGGCAATTAGGCTTAAAACATTGAGTTTAGGCTTATAGGCTTTTTGAGATTTAAGAAGTAGTGTTCAAAATTTATTTCAGTAGGTACAGGAAGTCCTCGACTTACAACAGTTCATTTGGTGACCGTTCAAAGTTACAATGGCACTGAAAAAATGGACCTATAACCGTTTTTCACAATTACGACCCTTGAAGCATGCCCATGTGATCCCCTTTTGTGATCTTCTGACAAGCAAAGTCAATGGGGATTCATTTAAGAACTGGGTTACTAACTTATCAGCTGCACTGATTCACTTAACAACTGAATCAAGAAAGGTGGTAGAGTGGAGCAAAACTCACTTAACAAATGTCTTACTTAACAACATAACTTTTAGGCTCAATTGTGATCGTAAGTCGAGGACTCCCTGTACAAGGCTTGCTATACTGGTAGTTCTCAACTTACAACCACAATTGAGCCCAACATTTCTGTTGCTAAACAAGGTAGTTGTTAAGAAAGATGACCTTTGTTGTCACAGTTAAGTCCATCAGCACAGTTTTTATCTGATTCATTAAGAAAATCTGGCTTCCCCGTTGACTTCGCTTATCAGAAGCCATCTGGGATGGTCACAAATGATGATCACATGACTCAAGGAGAGTGCAACTGTCATAAATACAGGCCAGTTGCCAGATGGTTGAATTTTGATCACATGATCCTGGGGATGTGGCAATGGTTGCAAGTGTGAAACCAGGTCATAAGACTCTTTTTTCCCTAAATGAACGGTTATAAGTCAAGGACTACTATACACTATAATGTGCATTATATGTATTAAGCAAAGCAGAAAATTAATCCATCATTAAGCATTTGTTAATCTTCACAGTTTCTAAAGAGGGAATCTTACCTGGTCAGCCCCAGTGAGATGTATGAAACTCTCCAGAATTGATGAACTCAATCTGTCCATTACATCTATGGCCAACTCATCATCACCCTAAGAACACAAATATCTGATACATGACAAAGTCAAGGCCGCATTAAGATAAACACAGACACACATAACAATTTGCTTACCTTAGTCATGTCTAAAACGGTGAAGAGAGCTCTTATTTCCTTAAGACAACTGACGGCTAGTCTTCTAGTGGCAGATCTTGTGCTACAAAGGATAACCAACGCAAAGCCTTCAACCACATGGAACACATTAGAATAAGGGGTCCTTTCCAGGGAAAGGGTAGGAGCAGTTCCATTGGCTACGCCACGCTAAAAGGTGAGAAACAGAAATTACTAAAATCAATGGGATCTATTCATTTGCATTTATGCTTTCCAAATACATCGGGCCACATAATGGGCACTTTTACTGCCATGCAAACAAATGGGACAACATGTTCATCTTGTTGTCCAACGTAATAAGGGTCAGGCACTTACAAGAATAAGACCAATAATTGCACAGCTCAATCATCCATGTATTCACATATCTAACATTCATGGGAATTCATTACTCAATTAAAAGACATCTTATTTTTTGCACTATGGGACGCACTCCCCCACCCCTCAAAAAGTGGATGGAAATATCTGTGCATCTTATAGAGCAAATGTTGCTGAATCCCTGCCCACCCACTGCCCCCCACCCTTTGGCCATTTTCATCCTCCCGTGCCCCATTTTTTGCCTCCACACGCCCTGTTTTTTGCCTCTGTGTGTCCCGTTTTTGGCCTGTTCCAGGTGGCGGGGATCGCCGCCACCTATCACTACCACTGGCAGCAATCCCCACGGGCCAAAAATAGGGCATGTGTAGGCTGAAAGTGGGACATGCTGAAGCGGTAATGGGTGGCAGCGATTCCCGCAGCCTGAAACAGCTGATCGGCGGTATTCCTGGAGGCCATTCCAACTGCCAATCAGCTGCTCGTGCTAAACCGGGCTGCGATAACATGCTGGAGCTGCTGAACAGGCTGTTTGCTGTAAGGACACTAGCCAGATGAAAAGCGATGGATGCTGGGAGGCAGGTAGATTTTTTTTCTTGTTTTCCTCCCCAAAAGCTATGTGCATCTTATGGTCTGGAGTGTTTTAGAGTCATACGGTATAATTGTACCTGAGTTTCTTGGTTCTTGTTTTGTATTTGGACTGCTTGTTTCCACTGACTGATCAGCTGCACTAACATCTTAACTGCATTGTCCAGGAGAGTAGGGTGCAAATCAGTGACTTCACGGACAATAAAATAAACAAATCCTGACAAAACATCTTCCCGCCAATCTGGAAAATCCAGCATTAATGCTTGCAAAGTATTGAAAGCCAGTGCACGCAGTTCTTCGTCCATGTGAATGGTCAGCCTGTTGACAATTTTTTATTTATTAGAAACCCATGAAGAATTAGCCTATTATAAAAACAAGTTAAGTCTGAAGAAGATGAAAGGCAAGCTACAGGGTTGGGGTGGTAATTTGGCAATCCTTGCATTATGCATATTCAGCAATGATGCCTGGTACAGATACAGAACTGCAGATGGGTTAATTGTGATTAAATTATTTCTGAAACCAGAAGTAAATTGTAAGATCACTCTTTTCTCAAGTTCTTCTACTCCCTGGAATTAACTCCTATCCTTTCACGATTAACTTTTAGTTAGTTTTTATTCTTCCTTATTATTTCAGAATTAAATAACACTTTGTGTATCACTAGCATAAGTCTACCAGATCTGAACCACATATCTGCCAGATAATAGATGAAGCTGTGATTTGTTTAAATCCAATTCAAATTCCAAGGTACAATTCAAAACTATAAAACTCTACATAGAGCAGACCCATATAAATTAAGAGTTAAGTTCTCCTGTATGAACCTGCTCATTAATTGAGATCTACCTGAACCCAACATTTATATTAACTTTAATGAGTTGTCAATATTTGTAGATAAGCCTTGATCGTGGAATACCCTCTGCTAGCCTTTTACATTTTAAGCAGCAAATGAGAATATTTTGTTTTCATCTTAGAATGTATATTTTAGATTGTAAGGTATTTTTCAGAATAGTTTCATAATTTCAAAAATTGATCTTCTGTAAATATCTGAGGAATCTCCAACTATTCATAATTTTGATTTTCTAAGACTATTTAATTTTCTAGCAATAGCAATAGCAATAGCAGTAGACTTATATACCGCTTCATAGGGCTTTCAGCCCTCTCTAAGCGGTTTACAGAGAGTCAGCATATTGCCCCCAACAATCTGGGTCCTCATTTTACCCACCTCAGAAGGATGGAAGGCTGAGTCAACTCTGAGCCGGTGAGATTTGAACCGCTGAACTGCTGATCTAGCAGTAGCCTGCAGTGCTGCATTTAACCACTGCACCACCTTGGCTCTTAATGACAATCTGGGGGATAAAATGAACTCTTGGAGCTAATGACGATAATGAAATATTCCAGACTCTCATTTTTTAAAAATTACAATAATTTCATCTTAAAGTTTGACAAGGAGATAAAACAGAGATGTCTGAGGATACAATGGGCTCTCTAGGGAACTTACTGAAGACCATTGTTCACTCCAGTAAAAACCAGGATAGTCCTACCTTGCAAGCAGTTCAATAAGGTCATTTCTGCTCATTCCATCTGGAATCAGTCTTGGGATAGCAGCAATACAAGTTCTAAACAAATCAATTTTTGGTTTCCTCTCACCCCTGTGAATGAGAATATCACATGAGTTTATTCCACAGTGACTAGATGGATTGTATATCCACACAAACGTAAGTATTATATATTTTAACTGATCTATAGAAACAGATAAATGTTTGTGTGTGTGTAGGTCTTGACGTATTTGGGTCTTTTCCCGTGTAAGATTGAGAGTATCTTGGCGACGTTTCAACGAGGTCCCACTTGCCATATTCAGGCTGGTGCCTTCGGCTTCATGCTTGGCTTTGCTCATATATAAATAAAATACATATATAAATAAAAGGATTAAGCCCTGATGGAAACAATGGCTTATTACACTAAACCAGTGGTGGGTTATGGATCCTGTTCCAACCAGTAGCATCCACTTGCGCACTCATGCATCTTAGCGCCTCCACGACGCTACAGCTGCTCCACGGAGCATTGCGCAGACGCTATACGCACCATGAGCTTGTGTGGAAGCCTTAAAAGACAAGTAAGGAGCTCGGGTGGGCAGGTGGGCCCTCCAGAGCACCGTACCAGAACGATATCCAGTCCTCCGGGCAGGGTCCGGAACATCTGTACCTGGGCATACCACCTGCAACCCACCACTGCACTAAACAGTAAAAATAAAAGCCATGATGACCACAGAAAAGGAAAAAAAATGAAGCAATGCTTTTATTAGGTCACCTGAAAATTTATGGAATACAGATTTCTGCTGATTGTCAAAAACACCTCTTGTACTCACCATATCTCATAGGAACTAGCATACTAACTATATACATAAACAAAAGAATAGGCAAGAGATGTGAATATAAGTTTCTTCACAGGATCAGGCTCTGACTTTAAGTTCCTGGCAGATAGTAGATTGCATGCCTCAGCTTCTTAAAGCTTCTATAGCTTTTTTTTTAAGTTATAGATTTTCTATGGTATGGGGGGCTCTATGTCAAAGAATAAAGAGATCTAAAAGCTCTATGGAAGTCTGGTTTCATTGATAGATCATTCCGTAGTCAGTTTTAAACTAAGTTGACAGGTGATGTCCACATAGTTTCTAGAAGCTGGGGTAATTCTCCACTATTTTTGCTAGCAAAATGTTATAACCGCTATAGTAATTATTAATAGTTATTTGCTAAATTTATTATGGCCGCCCACTTGAAAAGACTAGGCGGCTTACAACAATTGAACGTTAAATAGTTAAAACATAGCAGCAAAACATGGCAGCCTAAACCAAAAATTAACTTTTTTATTAATAAAGATATCATTCCAATGTTAATTAAAGTTTAAAATATCTCTGCACTGAATTAGTCGTACTTAATTTGCTACTTACGTGATCATATCTTCAGGTTCTTTATTGGTCATCTGTACACTCGTCATGCACATTGGCCTTCCAACTTCTTTGTCTAGATGCCTAAGTATGCTATCTAGTGCTTTCCTTACTTGAGGATAGTATATTGACATTCCTGAAAGAATAAGTTCAAATCATTTGTTTCTTAAATGATTCTTGAATCTTATTAGATACAGGTGAAATCCTGTATACATTACTTAAAACCAAATACCAGTTTTATTTGAGTTTTATTTTAAAATATTTTTAAAGTCATAAATTTAAATTGAGCATGTGACTACTCAAACTCAAATATTGGTTAAACATTTTAAAATATTTATTCAATTTATTCTGACATTATTAATATCCCTAAATCCAGTTTGAAGGAACAGAACTGTATTCCTTCCCAGTTTAAAAGTTGACATTGGGAACAGAATGAGAAATAGGTTCTGCAGTTGGACTTCTGAAGCATTCCAGATTCAGGCAAAAGATTCAGGGTTCTACTTGTTACAAGTGCAATAAAATTGGGTGCAGGATAGTCGGCTACAAAGTCAGAAGAAAAAAGGAGTAAACCCACCTAATTCTTTCAAACATCCTAATGAATTACTATAATGTAATTATTACAATTATCAGATTCACCACCTTCGGCTTGGCACCTAGCTGGCATCTTGCCTTCAATGAACCAGAGAAGGGAGGTGGAACAAATGGGCAACAAAAATATACGCCGGTATATATCTGCCGGTATCTTCAAGACCATTCACCCTGAGAGTGGAATTTCACCAGCCTAAACACCTTAGCTTTTCCCAAAATATGCCCGATTGGCTACACAGAGATGGGCCATGTGGGGAGGGCTAGGGAAACTAAGGGGTTAGTTTTGCATTGATGTGCAGGATTTCAGATTCCGCCCAACTCTACTGCAATCGGCATCTCTTAGTAAAAGTACCTTTCGCTTCAATCAAATGGAGTTGAGAGTTTTTCTTCCCTAGAGGATCAGACTGGGGCAGGTCTGACAACAATTCTGAACTTAACATATCCAAAGCTTGCCTTTCCTTTGTAACTTCCAGTTATAACAGATGGGCTTGATGGTTGGATGGGTTCTCTCCCAAATATTAACCACTCCGAGTGTCAGAAAATAACACAATATTTCATTGATATTGTGAGTTTCTGTATGAATGAGTGTAATGTTAGGGAGCACCTCCAATCTTCCTCAAGGTAAAAAGCAGGAATACTCACTAAGTTAAAAATGTTATGCAAATGTTTTTGGTGCTTAGAATATTTATAGATTACTATTTCAAAACTTTACTTTTCATCTAATTTCAACTGAAGTGAAATAAAAATAAGCATATGAAGAACAAGGTCTTTGTTCAGTACCATTTAGTGCTGCTACAAAACATTGTTCAAAAGCATAAGCAATTAATGTGGTTAATTTGATTGTGCTTAAAAAGTTACTTTTCTATCATTTGCTATTTTTAATAATAAACACATTATTCCTTTCCCAAACCATAAATTACTCACCTATAACTTTTGCTTCTTCATCAGTCAGAGTTTTATTAAGAAAAATTTTCTTTACACGGAGAGTATTTCCTGATGGAAGGACAACCCCTGTAGTTGGCATAGGTGGCTCTCCATCCTTCTGCTGCAAACTGTCTGCTATCACAAGGAAGACTCTGAGACCTATATTCATTCTCTGCAAAAAAAAAACCAGAGGAACATCTATCAGGGACCAGCAAGGATTGCAACATACCACAGATTGATGTTGTAAAATGAATAAAGGTATCCTCTCTCCATCCCATTTTCATCTGCCATACCCATGTTTAGTAGAATAGAGCTTTTCTTTTTATAAAATATCATTCTTCCAAGACATGCAAATGGTATCTCACTTAAATTAAGCACTAAATGACTTTTTAAAATCTGCTTTAAACTGGACCAGTTCTTGTGTTTCTATTGGCTAAATGAATGATAAAACACTTTAAATGTCAGGTTTTGTTCTCTCAGCCAGCCTTACAAGGAGACATTTATGTATGATTAGCATAGCCTAGTCATGAATATCCCAGAAGAGGGAACATCACATGTCACGAAGTAATTTGTGTAATTTGTGCAACGATGCCAGGCCACATTATATTATTGTGGCTATATTCCAGAAACTGTTAAGATAGATTTTGGCTTTGTACAACATTTAAACATCTGTTATGATTTGTAAACTGCAATTCATGACTTAGTGTGACATCTGAAGCCAGACAATTTTAGCTCATTCAGCAAGTATGGGAAGAATGTATGGCTTTGGAAATGACACTCAAATCTATCAAGTCAAGATTTTTCAGACACATATGCTTTCTTCCTCCTTTTTGCAGAAAGGAGAAATAGGGATTCTGTTCCACTTCAGCCAATTCCAAATGTGTTATTGTACTAAAATTCAGGATTTAAAATAAACCTTATTCAATTGCTAACAAACATTACAAGTGTTACATTGTTAAGATGGTATGTTGAATTGGTTTGTTATAACCAGAATAGTTAGCACAAGAAAGGATTGGCCAAAGAGAACAAAATCTTGACTTATTTCTTCTCATAACTGCAAAGGCAGATTGGAGGAGAAAGGAGCTTATCCTTAAACGCAGTTTTCCACAACTTTCCTTTTGCTCATCTTTGTGTGACCGCAAACTCTAGCAAAAAATCCAAAGATGATAAGGTACCAGCATAGATAGTAAATAATTGGACTAACTAGGCAAAGTTTTAGAATTGAGATTTTAGAATGGAAATTTGTTTTCCATTTCTTTTAATCTTTTTTCGGAAGTGGTTTACCAGTGCCTATTTCCTTGGGCAGAAAGAGAATAACTAGACCAAAGTCACCTAGTTAGTTTTCTGTCTGAGATGGGATTAGAACTCAAAGAGTTTTCTAGTTTCTAGCCCAATGCCTTAGCCACTACGTCAAATTAGCTGTAGTATTTCTAGGAGATCCTCATTACAGTGTCTGTGTTTATAATCTTATTAAAAACAAATTGCATACAATATTTAAATTTCTCTTTTTTACCTCTGGATTAATAGTGAAGGTTTTTGGGGATTTTCCCACACTGAGAAGATCAAAAATAATTTCTTTCATTGCAAAATCCAAACGTTCCTAGAAAAAAAAATCACAACTATATAAAACTTTTTATAAACATATGTTAAACCATTTTAGCTAAACTTGACTTGAATGGTAACTGGCATAAATCTAATTAATTTTATTTATTTTTATTTATTTAAGAAAAAAATGTATCTTCCCAAACTCTCATTTTCCCCATTTATTATGGTAATTTAAATTGTAATGTAAATTAAGGGGAAAACAGAAAAGAAAATATTAAACATATAAGTATATTCAAGAGTGAGGTATAAAGAGGGGGGGGAACATGATAGACTAGCGAAGGTAAGGGAATAAGAAATGATACTAAATTATATTAGGATTGGCAGAAATACTATCCCAAGGAAATATAAACTGAGTTTTGAAATATACACCAATAATAATAGAAAGAGAGAGAGAAGACAAGAGAATGAAAGGAAGATGGGGAAAAGAGGTAAGGAGAGGAGGACGGAAGGGAGAGAAAGAGAAGGAGAGGGTAGGAAGGAGAAGTGTAGGAGAAAGGGAAGGGAAGAAGGAAGGGGAAGGAGAGGAGGAAGGAAGAAAGTAGAGGGGAGAAGGGAGAAAAGAAGGGGAAAACAAGGTGGTGTTACAAAAGGAGGAAGGGATGGTAAATAAAGCAACCCAAACTGTATATTATAACCTATTAAATAAAATAATAAATGTATAAGAATGATTAATGTAAAGAAGAATAAGAATAACAATTATGTGAATGTATACTTAAAATGGAATGTAAGAGAATAAAAAAAATAAAAAATTCTTTGGGACAAAAAAGGTTGTAATGTAAATTATTTAAAGATATTTGTACTATCATATGTTGATCAAAGTCCCACAAAAATAGGTGCCTAAATTTAAGATTATCTGAAGCTTAAATCTTTTCTCCTGCCTAGGCAGCTACCAGCCAGCATTACATATTTTATATCACTGGGTTTCAAATTGTTGAAACTTTTTTTTACAAGAGGCTTATTATAAATTTACCAGTGTAGAAATCAGAAGTGGCATAGAAACATTTCTAAAAGGAAACTGTATTTCTTCACTGATTTCTATCCTTTGTACACAGTGGTGGGATTGTCCCGGTTTAACAACTGGTTTTGTGATTGCGCAATTTGTGCGCCCGTGCGCAGTTTGGAAAAATCTTCACTTCTGGGGTTCTTCGGAGGAGTAACATAGCTGATTCTCGCGGCAATCAGCTCTGCCACACAAATCAGCTAAGAAGAAAAAGGTAGAAAAATAGCACGGACGGGTAATTGGGCCCAGCTGATCGTTGGGGCGAACCAGTTTGCTCCCAGCCGATTGTCAGAGCTACCGGTTAACCCAAACCTGTCTAAACCGGTAGAATCCCACCCCTGTTTGTAGTGTATGTGTTACTGTGTTCAAAAATGACTGAACATCAAGAGTGGCTGACAGATTGATGTAAATAATAATCCAAAATCCTATAAGCAAGTCCTGCTACACGGGGGAATGTAACAACTTCAAAAATCAGAGTAATAGTATTTCTTACGTATGGAAACCTAAACTTTAAATCTTCTGTTTATTAACAGTACCTCTGAGTAGTTTGAGCAGATTCTTGTGTTTCAATTTAATATACATCACAGCTTTCTTAAGAAGGTTAAAAATATGTGACTTAAAAGTTCTTGTAGAATGTTAAGGTTTAGACAGGGGAATGAGCAAATTCTGAAATATTTCAGGCTATTATCACATTTGGGCTAAAGCTTTTATAAAGATGATTTACCTGAGCAATGAACTGAATAATTTTTACAAATATGTTCAGAGGTGTGTCTCGAGGGACCACACTGCGAGAGCCTTTTGGAAAAAGTGCAGATACTATGCCCATCAGACGGCTGTACGGGGAAACATGTAGAAGAGAATATTGAAAAATCCCATTAGCAACTCTACCAAAAGGCAGCCACAGCACTTTTTTAACATTATCAACATTTTAGCACATTGAAAAAAATGGCTTACCTCTGTGTTACAGTGTTGCTTTCACATTTTATTCTAATAACATAAACCCATAACAATCTATATAGCGATTCCAGTGCAACTCGAGACATTTTCGGATCTTTATTCTGTTAAAAACATTAAAAAAAACCTATTACTATTGCACATAAGCCACACTGCAGATAATTATTTAGTAGTAGCTATAAGAACCAAGACATTCCTAAAATTACACTTCAAGTTCCTGCAATGGCAAAACACTGGGCACTCAAATTAATGTAAAGATATTAAAGTTAGTTAGAAATTAATTCTCTGTATTTTTTTCATAAATGTAAGAACGATATCAATATTTGTAGTTTAAGTGAAGTGTTGTTTCAGACTGTGCTTTGTAAAATCTGTCCCAGAAAGAATCCAGTATAATTCCTATCTCATTGTCCTCCACAGAATACTGCATACGTCAGAAACTCAAAGCTATTTCAGTCTTTATTTAAAATGAAAACATGCTTTCTGTGATTCTCAGAGGAAATATTTAAAGAAAACAGTATCAAATAGTAGTAATAAAAGTACGGTTAACAAGTATCTTTTCCCCACAAATAATACTAATGTATAACTCTTTTTGAGATACGTTTAAACAAAACTGCTTGTTCTAGAGAGTGAAATAACATATACAATGAAACAACAGAAAAACATGAAGCAAAGCAATTTCTTACTTTACTGTGACAGCATATTGACTCACCTGAAGTGTTTCTATTTGTTTTCTGATACTGTTGTTAGATGGGATCTAAATAAAGCAATGCAAGACAGCAAAACATAACAAACATGAGAATGGGAAGCACATGCATGTTAGATGAAAAAATAAAAAGGACAAACAGAAAGCTGTTTACTGGGGCTCCATTCAACAGAAATATTTTGACAGAGTAAAACTCTATGTGTGTAAGCAATAGCATAGAACTAATATATCGCTCAACAGTGCTTTATGACACTCTCTGAGCACTTTACAACGTCAGCATATTTGCCCCAATAATCCAAGTCCTCATTTTACTTATGTTGGAAGGATGGAAGGCCGAGTCAACTTTGAGCCTGTCAGGATTGAACTCCAGGCAATGGGCAGTTAGTCTGTAATACTGCATTCTAACTACTGCACCACCATGGTTATACACATGATTTGGATACTACAGTACTGTAATTCAGTGTCCTTAATATTCCGTATGTTATTTACAATATCTCACTATCACTGTTTAGAAACTATGTGCAAGGATAGTCTGCATCTAAACTTGGATTATATCAATGAAGATGTGAACAATTTTGGACATTTTAAAAATAGCTGCTAATATTCCAACATAGAAAACTGATCACTCTTAAGATTATTTATAAACATTTTATTATTAATTTCTTTTATAATTCTAAAAAAATGCAAAAATAATATTTTCTTACTGTATTTCCCTGAAAACAAGACAGAGTCTCATTTTCTTTTGACCCCTGAAATAAACGCTTGGCCTTATTTTTCTTATTATTTTTGAAGTGCATGAGGCAGTGAGCTTGGTCACCTCATGGCTGCTGCTGTGTTGCAATATTTTCGGAGGGGGTTTATTTTCAGGGGAAGGCTTATTTTAGCACATGTGCTCAAAAGCCCAATTTGGCTTATTATCCGGGGAGATCTTATTTTGGGAGAAACAAGGTATTCTCCTTAAAAGTCTATTTTCTTTCTTTCTTGGTTTACAAATATTTAAAACTACTCATATTTCCTTTATGACCTAAACATTTATTAAGCAGACTACAATCCTATGCAGTAAAGAACAAACCTTACTGAATTTAGTGGGATTAATTTTTGGTAGACATGCATAGGATTACACAACCTTTAATCTAAAGGTTGATCCATACACCCAACCAAGTTATTATCAATTCACTTAAACCCCACAATAAGAAATTGAATCATACATCGGGTGCAATCAAATCAAAGTACCTAGGAAATTAATTGTATTAGGATAAAGATCCCAAATATTCAATAACTGGAAGTTTTGAGTTGCTCATCCACATTTTCCTGCATTGAGGTAAGCAGGATGATAATTAAAAAGTTTTGTCAACCAGCATTCTGAGAAATATCTTAAAATATATCTTATTAGTTCTGACACTTTCTTTCTATAGGCTCTGTATTAGTTTTATTCTGAGTTGTGCTAACTTACTACTTAATGTTTTAAAACAATTAAAACATGTTAAGAGAAAACAGTAAAGAACTAGATTTACTTGGCAGATTTGTTAGTTAGTTTGATAGAATTTGAGCATAATTATGCTTCTATTGTAAAATCTCAGTATCTTGAATATAATGCATGAAGTATTTTTTTCAAATCTTTTTTTTAAAAAAACTGTAATATTGCAGGCTTTTAATAAACAAATATTTTTTTTAAATTAAATTAAAAATACTGTAATAGCTTTAGCACTTTCTATTGAACAGAGCCACATCATAAAATGTTATGTTGTTAGGGGAACAAAATTATATTAAAATATGTGATACATGCTATATGACAACTAAAATCCCCGACAATGGAAGTTTTTATTTGCTCATTGTCAGCAATGTAATATTTCTAAATAAGAAAATTAAAAATCCCTTTATATCCCTTTATATTTAACACATAGCAACAACAGGTAGACAGAGACAATAAAAAAGGAGGTGTTTCAAAAGAGTTGCCATTGTGTGAAGAAATACACACAACTTTGACAAAGTAAAGAGAAGGAATACTATCCTAACACATCCAACTGTTGAATTGTTGTTGTTACACAATTTAAAGCTAGGCAGTTGTGAAAGCAAGCATTAACAGCAATATTATTAACAAAATCAATGAAGCGTGTATATTATTCAAATGTTACAGCGACAATAATTAAAACGTGCTTTCAGATTTTCCATTAAAATTGTGTCCACACCTTACACAATGGATGGCATCATAAACAAGGCTATGGAGCACACTATACATTATCGGAATGGTGAATGTTCCACTACCCTATGACTTCAAACGGATATTTCCACAATAACAAAAACAGAACTCAAAAGAGTAAACAAGGTTGCATACAAGATATAATACTTTGTTCTGATCGCTAATGCCATTATTGCTTTTCTATCTGCTCTTTCCCCCGCCCTTCAGCTTCTGTGCACTTACAGGAGAAAGGGTGGGTTTTGGTAATACATCATCTACATCAGTGATGATCAATCCACATTAACATAAGGCTTCTCAGCCCTGTTACTGTATTTTAGAGTATTTTTTCAGGCTATGCCACTGAAGCTCAGTGTTAACACTATTTATTTTGGAATATATGATCCTCCCACCCACTTTTGTATAAGATTAAGAGGATAAGTATTTGACTTAAGATTCTGCAATCTTTAAACATCACTCCCCCACCCCCCTCATTCCCCCACCCCCCTTTTGTTCAATCATGTCCGATTCTTGAAGACCCAGACAAATCCCTGCAAGGGTGTTTTTTTTGGCATTTTTTGTCAGAAGTAGTTTGCCATTGCCTCCTTCCTAGGGCTGAGACAAACTGTATTTTTTGGAGTATAAGACGCACCAGAGTATAGGGTTTTGAAGAGGCAAATTAATAAGAAAAAGTTTTTGCACTTTGCAAACCTCCCAAAAATGACCCGTTTTTCACAAAAATGGGCCCGTTTTTTTTTAAAGGGCATGAATAGCCTTTAGGAGGCTTGTAGAGTGCTCCTCGGGGTAGGGGAAAAGAGCAAAAAACACCCCATTTTTCATGAAAATGGGCCCGTTTGTCAAAAAAAGGGTATGGATAGCCCAAGGTACCTACCTGACTTTGTGTCCAAGACAAGACTCAAACTCACACTCTCCTGATGTCTAGCCTGATGCCTTAATTACTACACCAAACTGGCTCTCTTAGTGTCACTTGTTTGCCTTGTTTAATGTTTAATGGGTTACCTCCCATTAAAATGCAAGCAGCTTTGTTGTGGCTGCCAGCAGCTAGCAGCAGAGTTAAACAGTGAGGAGGTTGGGGAGAAAAATGGGACAGTCCTAGGGGCTGAGGGAAGCTCAGACGAGGACTCTGCGTTGGAAGCAGAGGGGGAACCAGACAGCAGTGAGGCAGAGGAACAAGTGGAGCCTGTTCTGCATGCGCAGAGATGCCAGAAGACAAGAACTAAGAAAGCAGGGTCAACTCTGGAGTAAAGCCACACCTTGGAGGTAATTGGTCCCTCCCATAGAAAACAAAAGAGTAGCGAACAGGGAGGGGGTGTTTGCAGGAAACAATTCATTCTTTTGGTCGTTTCAAGAGTGGAAAGTGCTGTTTGTGACTATAAAAGACTCTGTGTCAAGTGTTGCCTTGCCCTGAGTTTGGAAACTAATTATCTGGCAGCTCTCTGAGTGAGATAAGGTTCGTGTTGATAAATATTCCTCTGAAAGACTGTTTGCCAAGCCTTGCTGACTGGGAATGAAAGGAATTCACAGTCGTGTAAATAAAAGAGGTTTTGCCGGGACCGAGACTCTGCTTCATGCTTGCTAAGGAAGCCTAGGTCTGAAAAGGCTTGATATTTTAACATCCAACTTGGGGCAATAAAAAATGTAGAAACAACACAAAAAAGGAAGGAAGTGCAGCTCCTGGCTGCAAAAATATTGCTGATCTTTGGTCAACATTAGAACTGAACTCAAGAAGGCTCTTGGTCTTAGGTACAGCTATCCCAAGCAGCTTCCACTGGAAAGCAATATTTAAAAAGGACTCATGAGCAAGTCCAACTTCTCCAAAGTACATTTCTAAATAACTGGAATTCACAATGGATAAAATGAGCACAGGCAATGTGAAAAATCAATTTTGAGAAATATGCAGGAATAGGTTATTCTGACTTGAAATAGTTTCACATTACAAGCCTTATGAATAGGCATCAAATAGGTTCACAAGTTATTGTGAGCTACGAGCATTATATTCTTGCCCTGATAAGGTTCCCTAATTGCAATCAAACCATTTGTTACCATCTGTAAACCACAAGCTCAGAGAACACCAAGGACTCTACCCTGTTCAACCCTGAGTTACAAAACTCTTCTATTGGAGTCTTACATTTATTTTATACGGACATTATTTTGTGGTTAATCTACATTGAGAATATTACTTACTAAATATGACAGGAGCATGATGAAACAGTCCTTACCTTCAAATGAGACAGACAATTCTGTAGGAAGATATGCCAGTTATTTAGAAAAAACTGCTTCTGACTGACACACAACAAACAGGTGATCAATGGATATAAAGCCTATGAGAGAGGAACAGTTTGTTACAACTTTCAGGAAAAAAAATAGCATGGCTGGTTTATTAAGCATGCAAACTCAGCCACTGTAAACTTGTGAAAAATGATTAATGGACCAGTGAGCTGTATATATGTAACAAACTATGGTGCATTCAATAAAGTGTGGTTAAACGAACCACAGTTTGGTAAATATTTGACAGTATCTATGATTGTGTTCTTACATTAGCCAGAATCCTGATACATAAATGAATCTAAACTGTAATAGCAATAGCACTTAGACTTATATACCGCTTCATAGTACTTTACAGCCCCTGGTTTACAGATGCTCAGCAAACAGCCCCACCCACATCCATTTTAAACCAATTTGGGAAAACAGCTTTTCTCTTCAAACAAAACTTAACATAGGTTTGGCACTTGAGAAAAGTTTTCTAAACATCAGTTTACAGTACTGAAAATGCTTCCTTCAATTGCTAAATATATAAATAGAGAACCAGTCCATAATATTAAGTAATTTGATTACAATTGGATTAAAATAACTTCAGTTTAAAATATCCTATCAAGAAAAAAGCTTGTAGTTCTGTCAAATTCTGATCCCAGATATTTGCTTTGTGACATACTATCAAATTGCATGTACTGTATCTTAGACAAAAATTAAACCATTTTAAAAATACCAAAGAATGCTTCTTTCTTGAGCTCAGCTCAAAAGTTGTCTGATAGAGCATCTCCACAAAATTTTTCAGGCATGGCACATTCACTTCATTTTTAACAGCCTAGAATCAAAAGAAACAGATCTATACTATATCTTCAAGGATAAAGGCAGTAACAGAGAAAATGATACAAATCATGAGAGTCATGTAATACTTTCTCACAGATTTAAACCCTGCTGTTAAAAATAATTCAATTATACAACAAAACACTTAGTCCAATTCCAAACACTTTATAGATTTTTCATTGTGAGAAGCTGAATTTTGCCTTTAATTTTACAAGTAAAATTAATGGATTTTTTTAAAAAAAAATCACATATTTGGTTATAAAAAATAATTAAACTACATTGTCATCATCTGTATGGCAAAATACACTCAAATACAAAAAATGGTTTTTTCAGACCTCCATTTGAGAAGAAAAGGTCTTTACTTTGGCATAAATACAATACACTGTATTTGTGAAATAATAAATTATACTTACAGCAGCAACAGGGATGAGAATTTCTACAAACAAACCAGCAAGTGAATGCTTTATGTCTTTATCTTTTACCTCCAAAAAATACTGTGCACATTCCTGCAACAAAATAGTTATCAAATTTCTGTTATACACCATCTTTTTCAGTAAGAATAAATGAAAATAACAGGAAAACAAAACCTATTGCAGATAAAAGGCTTGATACCGGTAACAAAATAGTCCAGTTTAAACTGGAACGAATTTGGAAACCTTAAATTAGCAGGTCTTCAACGTTTTTATTCTATAAATAAGCTGAAGCTGATTTTGATATAAATATTTTTTTTCTCTATGCAAAATTCCAAGTTTTGGAAAACATTACATCACTTCTGCTAATGTTTCTGATAAACCAAATGATGACAGAGTGTTCAACTATTTGTGATATGCAGTTATGCATATTAAGGCATTTTTTTCAAGTCTTGAAGACCACTGCAAAATTGATATTTTGAAGTCATTGGAAACAATCTTCAAAATAATGAGTTGGTTAAAAAAAACTGTCCAGAATTGGTACTGATTGTGATCCTGCAATGCCATATTCAAAAACATTTTCTCAGGATAAAAAAATCTTATATAGTTTCAGTATGCAAAATGTCATACATAGCCAAATGTTGGCTTCCAAAATTTTACTGAGGGATGTAATGCCTCAACACTACTATCAAAGTGGTTAATTATGTGATAAGCAAGTCATTATACTTCAGCTTGTTTGCTTTCCTTTCTTAAGATTAAGTAGACTTGACCACAATCAATCTACACTGAGTTCAATTGTTGACAAAGAGAAAGATGTTGGGACAAATACCATATTTTTCAGACTATAAGACCAGGGCGTCTTATACCAGTGTATAAGACGCCCCAAGATTTTGAAAAAGTAAGTAAGAAAAATGCCCCCGTTTCTACCTTGCCCCAGTCCTACTGAAGCCTGAAGAGAGCTACTGGCTGAAGGAAGGCAAAAAAAGCCTCTGTTTTTGTGAGAAACGGGGGACATTTTTGCTTTGCCCCAGCGCTGCTAAAGCCTGCAGAGGGCTGAGGGAAGGCAAAAAAGCCTCCAGGGGTGGCACTCTTTATTTGGTGTATAAGACGCACCAACATTTCCATGCTCTTTTGTGGGAGAGTGCTCTTATACTCTGAAAAATACGGTAGTTGAAGAAAGAAACTGTCCCTTTTTTGAAATATCATTAAAACACCAAATTGTTGAAACTTTCCAAATGATGGCTTTCTATCACTATTTTTGCTCCTTATGATGTAATTCAAGAATTTATAGCCTATAGCTATGGATACATGCATTCAGGAAGTTTCTTCCTAGAACTCAAGAGTAAAATCCTATTTGGAAACTTATGAGAAATCAAGAATAATTTTTTAAAGTCAACTTCATCCACACATTCCCAGAGGACTACATATGGTTAACTTTCTTTGAATTTAGATTTCTCCATAGAGTGTCTTTCTGTTTTCCTCCTAATAATATGCCTATCATTCCTTGTTTGGGTGGATATTCATTAGTTACCATGCATAAATCATTAGATTATTAGTTGTGGTGGGTTATATGTTAACATTCTTTACAGGAAATAAATAATGTATAAAACACTATGCAATTTGAATTTTATTTCACATATGCTGGGATTAGAATTCAAGAATTCCTAGCCAACAGCTTTGCGCTGATAATCAGGTAGGGGGAAATTACTTTTCCCATTTAGGTTTAATCTGCTGGTTTTCTTTTAACCTTTTAAATGCTGAAGAAATTTTGACTGTCTAGCACGTCACACCTCTACCCTATGAGTTGCACTGGTTCCCAGGATGTTTCTATGTTCAATTCAAAATGACAGTATAACTTGTAACATCATAGTCCCCTTCTTAGTATGGAACTGGGTTATTTAAGGGGCCACCTTTCCTGGGTCCCATTAGATATAACAGGAGGTGCATGTTCTGATTCAAAGTGGTGAAAAGTGCCATCTAATGAGGCCTGGGAAGAGAGATTTTTCTGTATCATCCCCCTGGAGATCAGACTGGAAAAACCACATACTTAAACATTTCCATGTTCTTTTATCTCTGTCTCCAATTTAATATCCTCTATTGTTAAGGTAATGATAAATTAATAGCTGACCAGCTGCTGTAAGGCCGTAAACCGAGATGTGTAATGAGTCAGCAGGGAACCTCAATGTCCTGTATTTTGTCCCGGGTTGTCTCAAAATTGTAGTCACACTGTGCACACTCTGACATTTATCATATTTTTCTGAATATAAGACGCACCTCCCCCCTCCAAAAAAGAGGGTGAAAATCTGGGTGCATCTTATAGACCGAATACAACATTTTTGGTCACCCCAAACCCCACCCCTTCACAAAAATGGATGCACAGAGGGTTTGGGGGGCCTTTAAATTGCTCCTGGGGGATGGGGGGCAAAAATAAGTGAAAAAGGGGCCTTTTTTGCCCTCCCCAGCCCCCAGGAGAACATTGCAGGCCTCTCAAACTCTCTGCATGCCCCATTTTTCACAGAAAATGAGAATGAGGCATCCAGAGGATTTGGGAGGTCTGCAGAATGTAAACACATTTTTTTTTAATTTACCTCTTCAAAATCTTGGTATGTCTTATACTCTGAAAAATACGGTATTTCTTTTTTCTATTTAATTTTAGGAAATATATAGCAACAACCTGCATTTGTGTATTCTGTAAAGTATAAACTAAGGAAGGATCGTAACTATTAATACAATGAAATGGCTCACCTGCATGAATTGAAATGATGCTTCAAAATCTTCCACAGGATACATTTTTACTCTGAAAAACTTCATCCCCATAATTAAGCTGATGATACTTTGTACCACATGAGGGCTCTGCTCCTTTTGCCTCAGTTCCTTTAATTCTGTAACAAATTTTTTTCTAACAGCTTGAAACCTAAGCCAAAAAATTAGCAAGGTTTTAAAAAAGAATAGATAAAATGATTTCCCATGAAAAGTAAAATAATTGCCCTCGTTTTAAATATATAGTTAGAACCATACAAACAATACTGGGCCATACTAGATCACATTAGGATATATGACAAAGTCAATTTGACTTTTAGCAGTGACATCATCAAAAACTTCAAAAACCATTCTTGTGTGTTTGAGATAGGAAAGAAAAAAACACATTTTAAAAGAAAATACTCAAAAGGGAATGCAGTCATTAAAAGAGAAACTTGCAAAACAATTTATCACTGTGACAATTGATCAGTAGATAGTAATAGTTGCTATTTGTTATGCTAAAAAATAGATTATCTGTGATCATTAAGCATTTGTAAACTTGTGGCAAAGAAAACATTTTTAAGTCTTGAAAAAGAAGTTACTTACTTTGATTGGGCAAGGACACCTATCACTTCTGCATATAAATCTGCAATGATATGGACATTTCCAGTGTTGGTCCCTGAATACCTACAATGAATAGGAAAGCCACAAATTTGATATTAGGACACCGTGTTTCCCCTGCCTTATTTTCTTTTGACCCCTGAAATAAGCGATTGGCCTTATTTTCGGGGAGATCTTATTATTTTTGAGGTTTAGGAAGGGGTGAGCGTGGTCACCTCATGGCTGCTGCTGTGTTGCAATATTTTTGGGGGAGGGATTATTTTATTGCATGCACTCAAAAGCCCAATTGGGCTTATTATCCAGGGAGGTCTTATTTTCAGGGTAACAGGGTACAATTTAAGACAATGCTGCACATACAGGTAGTCCTCAACTTACAATCACAATTGGGACCTGAATTACCATTGTAACTTGTTGCGGTTGTGTATTATGAATCATTTGAAACCATTTGAAACCATCTAAGCAGAATATTAACCGTTGCTAATGTTGACTCCCAATTTTATGGTATCCATTCAGGGTTATTTACTAACTATTGTAACATTTTAGATATTCTTAAATCAGCATTTTAATACTTATTATCTGATTACTTCGTGATATAGGATTGGAAGTGATGCTTGTATGTTCTTTCTTATAGGATCCAGGCCTTTGCAGGCCTCAATTTTATACAAATTTCTTTAGGAACAAATTTGAACAAAGTCAATGATACCTGTTAAATCATGATGTTGTTTAGCAAAAAGTGCAAATAACAAGTTGAATTCAAAAACATCTGCATTAGTGCAACTTCTCTGAGATGCTGGAATAGTCAGTACTCACTCATAAGTCAAAAATATTTAAAGGTATTTGGTATCCTAAATATACTTACCCTTCCTTGTGTTTAAAGTGCTTGAAAGCCAAATTTAGAACTTCATGAACTAAAGGGTCAGGCACTGGATGAACAGGTATCTGTAACAGAGAGAGCAGGTACTGTTTTATCTTTATGGCTTAGACATTTTACTGGAATTTGAATTGTCACTGTTATTGGATAAACATGTGTGCAAATATATACAGAAGGGCATATTTTTATTTGGGATCTGAATAAATTAAATAACATGCTACAATTCTGAACTCTTTTCACCCCACAGAAATATTTCATTTTAATAGAACTATATTTTACAATGCACAATGTATGAAAATCCCCTAGCTTTCTACTCCAGTATTCTACTCCAATTCTAAGCAGAATACAAAGACATTTAGATGTTTTTGGTAAAAAAAAAAAAAAAGCTTATATGTAGCAGAAATAAAAGAGCTTACCTGTTTTAGAACTTCTACTAAAACTAAGCAAAAAATAAAATCTACAGCTAAATCCCTTCGTTCAAGTAGATAATCTCTCTCTCGTTGCTGCTCATCTCTGAAACAAAAAAATATCAGATATATTTGACATAAGCCAAGCTCTTTTGTCCAAACAGAAATGCATGCAACTTTTTATGTATATGCACACAACTAAAAAAGTTACAGAAAAAATCCTTCTACACCAATGCCCATCATCCTCCTGGAATTCCATACTGCCCTTACAATCTGACAGGAGCAAAAAGGAAAAAAAAAAGGAGGAAAAAAACCTATTAGGAAAGTAAGTTCACAGAAATACCCAATTGATTACTATTCAAAGCGAAAGTCATGAACTGCTACTATATTTAACTGAGCAAGGAATTACAGTATATAATTTGCTAATTGTTCCTGAGTATCTGAGTTTAAAGTTGCTAACATTTTCCATTATCAATAATTGATCAGCTCTGACTGGCTATTAGCACGTACTTCTTTGTTGTTTTTAGAAAGTTTACAATCTTCCTTAATTTTTCCAAACAAATTATTTTTGGTCTTCTGAAATTTTAAGTTGCAGACTAGAATGGTCTGGTCTTGCATACTTTACTTTATTCATCATCACATCATTTTTATTAATTCCATTCAGCTATGACTACCTATATGAATTATCTGTTATTTAAGTTTATCTAATTGTGAAGCTGAAGACTAAGCTATATGAGAATTTAGAGCTGACAGATGACAAACCTAGTATGTTTAGACCATGTTATTCTTTATAAATAATATTTATAAATTTATAAAATGTTGAATTATTCAAGGAATATGTAATTAGAGGATGCAATTACCCACAGGTGTTTATCACTCTAGCACACTCACCCCTTAGATTTTGTGCTGGACCGAGGCCTATATTCATAAGACTCATCTTCAGTTCCATTTTGGCGTTTGTACCAGTCAAACAAGGTGCGTAGTAAGGAGGGGAGACAGTGCTCTGCTACTGAGCTCATAGAGCTTATCAACTGTCAAAAGAAAATATTAAGGGTTTCCATAAAGTAATTAGTTTACATAATATTTTTTCCAAAACCTTCTCTCTTAGGTATGTTATGGCTGGATGTACAAACTGTAGTGCAGCTATAACACCATGGCATCATCTGTCATTTTTATGCTGTAGCAAAAATCTCAACATGTATTTATTCAAACTTAAACACCAAACTTTCCACTAAAATTATACTAGATCTCTATTCTCAAAGTCTGCACTGTGATTCTTAATAAATGAATTAGTATGACATATTCCATGATTTTTTTTAAAAAAAATCAACCTTTCTTTTTTTGACAGCAACTCATGTCTCATTCCACATTTCTTTTTGATTGGTGTAGCAGCAACTGTAGAAAAATGTGATTCACACACTATGGTGCTTCCCCATTTCCATTTGAAAGTCTCAACGTTTAAAATAGTGAACCGTGCTGATTTTTCAATCCTGTAACCTTCTACAGATATTCTCCTTACTACTGATATATTACTAGAGCAACTTGTGCAGGTGCTAGAGACATAAAAATATTTCTCAGAAAAGCAATAATTTATACATCTTATAAATTAAAGAATATAAGATTCTTTATTGATAATTTATAATGTAGAATTCTTTATATGTGATTTAAAGAATAGGTAAAGGTTTTGCTCGCAAATATGTGCTAGTCGTTCCCAACTCTAGGGGGCGGTGCTCATCTCCATTTCAAAGCCGAAGAGCCAGCACTGTCCGAAGACGTTTCCGTGGTAATGTGGCTGGCATAACTAAACCCCGAAGGCGCACAGAACACTACTACCTTCCCACCAAGGCAGTCTCTATTTTTCTACTTTTTACATGCTTTCGAACTGCTAGGTTGGCAGAAACTGGGACAAGTAATGGGAGCTCACTCTGTTACACAGTGCTAGGGATTCGAACTGCTGACCTTTCTGATCAACAAGCTCAGCGTCTTAGCCACTGAGCTACCGTGTCCCTGGTTTAAAGAATACTTGTATTTTAACAAAGAAAAGAAAGCATGTGGAAAAATACCAGTAACATAGGAAGTCTGAGTTTCATTTCCCATCCCTGAAGCATTATTTTTTTAAAAAAACCTGTGGCATCTTTCAAGAATTCTAATTATCTCCCAGCAGAATCACAATCTACAGTTTGACAACTTCTAAATTATAGATTAACGTGTTATTCTATTGGTGGTTAACATTTAGGCAGTGATAGAATCCCAGGTTGGTATAAAAAATATAAGAAGATATAAGAAGGCATATGTACTCTTCATCATTTTCTCCAATAAATAAATGAATCAGTAAAATGTTTTTGACTCGTGTGTTTACTTGGGTTCTCTTTGCCTAGTTAAAGGACTTGTGCGGAGAACAGATTGCATTTGAAGTAATACTTGTGCAGAGATACTGAAAATTCAAAAAGATCTACAAACATTTCAGCACTACTGTTATCTTCTTTGGTGCAACTAAAGACTTCTAAACTAAGTAAAAATTCTGAAATATTTCAAATATAAAATATCACAGAAACCTGCTTTTAACCAACTTGTGCAACAAATTCTGCCAACCAACTTGAACATAGTGGATTTCTATGACCTCTGCTATTTAAACACACTGTCAAATACAGGATTGTAAGTTTTGAAAAGAAAATTTACCAACCTGATCAAACTGAAGATCTTCACCTCTCTGAAGAGATCTAGACAGGGGTTTTTCCTAAAATAGGAATAAGGCATTGAATTACATATAATACAAGTATTATATGTGTATCCAATATAAAATAATTCAAACTAGATTTAATTTTTGAAATATAGTTCTATGCTATATGGATATACATTTACTACATACAACTTAAATCTTTAATGGTGTTGGTAAGAATGTTTATACATAGATCCATCTTATTTTGCAAGTCATAAATAAAATGATAAATATAATAATGCCAAATTTCAACAAAAAAATAAAGTTTATAGTATAAGAGAATATTTAATAACAATGTGTGATTAAATTAATTTAGTTAATCCCAAGAGTACAAATAAATTTCAGAACAAATGAATATTGTAATGCAACAGTGCTAAGCAGATTAAAAAATTATATTATGATTCACTAGAAAACCAAGACTGGAAAACAGGGTGGGAAAGATGAAAATTAGCATGTACATGATATGTAAGAAAAATAGTACACTGCCACTATGAAACACAAAATAGCTCTTTTAGACTTCTTGCCTTTTTTCACAAATAGTGAGAAAATTCTTGCTGAAGCAAAAAATTGAACTTCAACTAATCTTTAGAACTGATCCAACTAGCTATACTGTATTAATGTTATATTCAATATCACATTCAATGTTACTAAAAGCTGCTCATAGCCTATAAGAAACAATTATTAACAGTGTATGTCTATTAAATCATAGCCTTGACTGCCAACATTTAAATCTAGTTAATTCATGTCAGCTAAAAATATCTGGATTTAAGGTGTTGTCCCTTCTCTAATACTTTACTAAATGAGATAAGAATATCTAGCTGGCAGTTATTAAGTCTCCTTGTTTCAAGAATTGTTTCATGATGACAAAGAGCATTTCTCTTAAAAATTCCTATAATTGTCAGTAACCAAGATAGGCAAAAATGATTACTTGATTGTAAGAATCTTCTTTGAGGTGCCTGTTTACTTATTTGTAATTCATTTTTCTTAATTGAATGTAATGAAAAATATTAATTGTAATATAATTTGGAGTGAAATAATCAATCCAGCACTATGGTGAACATTTCAAAGGTTAAGTGGAAACGAGGTAGAAAGCTACAACACATGCAAATATGACTTCTTTATGAATCAATGTCTGGACTGTTGTTAACACTTAGGCTAACTGCAGCAGACTGCTCTGGTGCCCCCCACTGTGAACATAATTTAGGAACAATCTGTTAATAAACTTTCTTAAAAGATTATTGCTGTCCTGGTGTCTCCTTTAGTATTCTTGTTCTTTTGTATCCATCCTGCCAATTCTTAATTAAGTATCAATGCACAAATTAGGGGCAAGAACACTTAAAAACAAAAATCATTCATATGTATATTCTGCAACTTTATAAAATATTTAACTAAATTACTTAAAATTAATTAATAAGGGAGAAATTCAAAATTCATTGTAGCCATTAATATCTTAGCATTATATTCTTACTGGTTCATACCATTAAGCTTAGGTTTGTGTCTTGATTATCTTAGTTGATGTGACTCAATTATCAAAATACCTTTTGTTGCTATTCCCTCCTTTTTTCATCTAAGTTTGAAAAATTATTTCTAGGAAGATAACAATTGTAAGCTACATAATACCCAGTAATGGGAGGTTTCACTGCCTGAAAAAAAGTTTGAAAACCCCTGATCTAGACAACACTGTTGTGTGAATCAGTAGAAAAGTAAACAAACAAACAACAAATAAAAAAATATTTGCAGGTATAAAATTGAATGGAGAGCTTCAAAAACAAAGCAGAGCTAGAAGACATATAAGCAAGCATCTCTACTGTCTTTGTATAGTAGTTGCTTTTTCTTATCCTGCAACTCTCTCCCTCCTTAATCAATTAAGTAGGATTCCTCTAAGATTTCCTTTTTTTTTTTTTGCTGATAAACACTGGCTGCTATCTCTGCTTCTTTCGCCTTCCCAGTGCATTTCCTTTTCTGACTGTTCTCCCCATTGAAAAAAAATAAAAAAAGAAAAGAAAAGAGGCGGCAGTACTCAAAGGTTATACAAAATAAAGAATCCTTTGAGTTGAACTTGACTCCTAGTAATCATATGAGCATGTTCATGTAATTTCCTTGGCAACCATGGTTTACCGTTGCCTTTTTCCAAAGTCTACAGTTACTGTAATGCTGATTTTTTTATCAAATAAAAACTATTACATAAATTTCACTTTCGGCTAAAATATTTATTTGGCCTCCTATATAGGAGGAGGCTTTTAACAGCATGGATCAGCAGAAACAGAGAAACAGTCAATTACTAATTGACTGTTTAAAAAGAAGAAAACCTCAAGGAAATACAGCAGTCAATCAATTATGGTTATTTTATAAAGTTTATTGGCAGTATGTTTTTTAACACAGAGAGCTCAAATTTTACTAAAATAAAGGGGATTTTAATCAGATACAAAATAAATCTGCACTTGGCTAATACAGTTCTATTTTAAAGTTTACACCTTGTAAAAGAACTTATAGTAAGCTATAGTAAGTAGTTTTATATTAATACCCCTGGCAACTCTGATCTTACAAGCAATTAGCTACGTGGAATGAGAAAGGAGAGGAAATTTAACATTTCCCAGTTCTTCATTGTTTATTGTAGCTTTTCACTGTTTTTTCCCCAAATTAATTAAATAATTTAAGAAAAACATAAACTGAAAGAAGGCTGCATAAAAGAACTCACCAAAGGTTCAGCCATTACAACTTCAATTTTCTTTTCAGCTTGAATAGCAAACTCAGTAAAGAGGCTCTTGATGACATATTCACCAGGTTTGACATCTGGATCAATGGTAATATTAGACATGATGACGCTTCTCTTTTCGCAAGTAGAATTGATGGTGGGAGAAATTCTGTGCTTAGTAATGCTTCTGGCTTGTGCTGATGCTAGAGGAAGAGAAAGATGGATCATTAATAATGAAGTAAATCAAGAGTATCAGCATTTCTTACAAACAACAAAATATTTTAGGTTGGTTAGAATTTAAGGAAGACCTCTAGGAGAGGAGAAAGTTCTCAGTTGGTTTCCAATTGAAGCATAAGAAAAATGTATTCAATGAAGGAGAAATATAACTGAAAGATATTGTGGCCATATGCAACTAAGCCAAAGATACCAGGGATAAACTTAGGCAGTGGGTGCTCTTTTTCCAGTACTTATTGTGTTATCAATACATACGGTAAAAGCAGAAAAGATTTAAAAACTATCAAGGATATGTTCAGGATTATGTAACTATACTTCTTCCTCTACCTCTGGGAAAATCCATTATTGGAGGATTTTAAGAAGAGATTGGACAGTCATGTGTCTGGTCATGAAACTTTTACAGGTGAACCTTAAATTGGAAGCCAATTGCAGACACTGCAAAATTAATGTTATATGTTGCCAGCTCCAACAGCCAAGATACCAGCAAAATGGCCACCTGGTTCCCAGAATTGAACGATTCAACTTTGGCAAATTCTCCAGTACAACAAATCAAAGGGATCAGTAAATTTATTTCTGTTTATTAAATGTTGAGACCACCCATCTCACTCTCAGCAACAGTTGATGACAGCTTGAAAAACTGAAAGGAGTCAGTCTTTTGTTGATGTGCATAATTTTCTCTCTGAGTGAGCCAGTCCTCATTTTCCAGAAGCAGACTCCACAAGCCCAAAATATTTGTACTCATGAACAGTATACCAAATCAAAACACTGCTGCCTAGTCAACATCCAGTACCTTTTGTTCAAAAAGGACAAAACAAAGAAACAAAAACAAACTTAACAAGCCTGAGATACTGTTCCACCCATGAAAGCCCTTAACAGATAAGAGACAGTAAAGGAAATCTAAATCTTGAGAAAGAGGTAAGTAGAAGAGATTCAAAATATCATGCACGCACATACCCACACACCCTTCATCCCACATCATACCCTGTTTCCCCGAAAATAAGACCTCCCTGGATAATAAGCCTAATCGGGCTTTTGAACACATGCGCTAAAATAAGCCCTCCCAAAAAATATTTAAACGCATGCACAGCCGGTCCCCGCCACTTCCTCTGGTTGCTTGCCACGCAAACAATACGAAGTGAGGAGGCGAGGCTGGAGGGGGGGAAAGGGAGTGGGAACATGCCCCATGAACTCCACACACCCTTACCTAACAGCCACTCCTACAACCCTAGCCACCGCACCCCTTCTGTTACGCTAATGACTGCCGCAAAAAGAGTGGCAGGCCCAGCAACATGCAACACAGCAGCAACCTGATATGACCACTGCCTCCTGCACTTCAAAAATAATAAGACCTCCCTGAAAATAACACCAAGCGCTTATTTTGGGAGGGCCAAAAGAAAATAAGACCCTGTCTTATTTTCAAGGAAACACGGTATAAGAGAACACAGAGGGAAACGCTGGCAGGTACTTAAGATTCTGTTATTATAGCCCTATCAAGATTCTATTACATCTTATAAGTTCCAAGAACTATCCTACTGTGACTCAGCAGTTTGCATTAGATTTTGCGGGTGAAATCCTGTATGCTCTGAATACCACAGGAAAAAAAAGGGGGCCAGGTAAGCCTTTTCATACGCAATAATATACAAAAAGGAACAAACAGATATGGTGAAATATTGAATGCAGAGGGTGAACTTAAATCTATGCAAGAACTGGAAAAGGAAGATATAAAAATGAACTGGTTTTTCATATGTGCAAATACAATTTAGATATGACAAGGATCGTAAAGAGGAAGGTTTTTATGATAAAATAACTGAGTTAGATAAAATTTTGATAGGTACTGATGAAAAAGTAATTTTAAAACTTTATGGACATTTACTAGAGGTTAAGTTAGTAGAAGAACCAGTTAAAGGAACTATGATAGCTTGGGGGGAAATTTTGGGCATGGGATTGAATTAGAGATGTGGCAGAAATTGTGGTCTCAAAATTATAAAATGGCAATGTCAGCAGCATATAAAGAAAATTTGTATAAGATGTTTTACAGGTGGCATCTAGACCCCGACAAGAATAGCAAGAATGTTCAAGAATAAATCAGAAAAGTATTGGAAATGTCATCAGACATCGGGTTCATATTACCATATGTGGTGGACTTGCGCAGAAGCTAAAAGATATTGGACTAAGATTCACAAGTGGTTGGAGAAAATGACACAAAAACATATAGACTTAAAACCAGAGATTTTTTTATTGGGAATTATACTAGAAATATACAATAGAGATTTGAAATGTTTGATTGTAAATGTTTTAACAGCAGCTAGAATTGTATTTGCAAAAAGTGGAAAAATGAGAAAATACCAACGCAGGAGGAAATTATTCAAAATTTTTTGGGAATGTGCGGAAATGAGTAAATTGACATTTGAAATTAGAGAACAAGAAGATGAACAATTTTACAAGGTTTGGGATTTGTTTTATCAATGGTTAAGATAAAAAATCATGGTAATGGGAAAAGTGGGAGAACTTTTTATATTTTAAGAATAATAGAATGATACATGCAATATTATAAGGGTTTAGCATTGTTAAACAGATTAGAAATGTAATGGATGTATGATTTTAATATATAGAATATTCTGTTTAAAATGTAGGAATAATAATTGGAGTTGAATTATTGATGCAAAATGATGTTGTATGTATGGATTCAATATTTAGAATACCTTGTTTAAAATGAAGGAATAATAATTATAGTTGAAAAATTGAACACATAACAAAAATGTATCTATGTTTACCAAATGAACCATTTGTGACTCGATATATAATTGCAAGTGGTGATCACGGAAAAGACACAAAATCTTGTAACCAAACCACACGCTATATGAAATGGAAGGATGTATGTGTTTTACATTTTTGTTTGTTCTTGTTTGTTTAAAAATAAAATAAAAATATTAAAAGGGGGGGGAAGGGTCAGCATTCAACCCATTCTTTACTCCTATCCATGGTGGTGGTGAATGCTTCTCCTTTGCAGCATTATGTGATTCTTCTGTCTTGATTCCAATAATCTAAAGAAAATTCATATTACATTAGGGTAGAATATCTGGAAGTGTAATTTTTCTATCTCTGATAGAACAGATAAGTGACAACTGATAAGTGAAGTAATGGAAACTATGGATCCACTCATTTCAAACTGAAAAGACTTTCTTACAATGGGGGGGGAACCCCTTTTCAAATAGAACAAGCTAAACATTTTCAACTCCTTTTGCACAAAACTTTCAAGATGCTGTTCCATAGGACAACATACGCATTATTCGATATATATATTTGATGAGAGCCAAGAAGAGATGAATAAGGGGACTTGGTCAACCCGGATAAAAATGGTGACTGCTGCAATAACCGATGACTGCAATTCACCATCGTAACAAATTGCTGAATTAGACATGACTTTCCAATATAAATTATGCCTGAAATTGTTTTGCTGTCAAAGATACTGCTCTACCAATATTGCTTTGCAAGTAATTGTGGCAGGTCTGTATTGAATTTTTTTTAAAGAATAGAGAAGACTTAATAACTGCAAACCAAAGATAGTTCAAACAAGCAGGCCAATGTGCGCAGGGGGGGCACCTACGGGTGGGGTACTTGCATTGCATTTATGTTAAAAGAACCTGTGTTGCTTCAATAATCATATACTGGTCGTCCAGAATAAATAACTTGCACAGAATGACTGCAATGGCAGTTGATGATATGTTTAACGCAAATTATATATATATGTGTGTGTGTGTATGTGTGGTTTTATGTCATTTATTTTTAAATTTGTATCCTTTCTTTTTGGTCAGACAATACTCAAACTGGATTATAACAAATAAAAATATAAATTATAAAACAAACACAGAAAAATACAATTGAAATATTGTTATATTGAAGCATATCAGTATTAATCTGTATATGTATTAATAGAATGTAGACATTTACCAATTATAGTGAATGTATACTATACATCATTTGTCTATCACTTATATCTAGATATTTACATCTACACAAATGCATGCACATAAAATATATATTATACATTGTATATATGTGTATATGAATGCATAAAGAACTAGGAAAAGAAGACACTTGACCATCCAGCTTATTTTATTTTTGTTTTGGCATTGTAACAATGACTAAGGAACAAGCAGTATTCCTAAAGGCATGATTCTGCCTTTTCATTGTGTTAAAAAAAACACCTCAAGGAGACCAAGAATGAAACAAAGTCAAGAGGTGAGTAAATATGCTTAGTTTTGTTGAAAGAAATGCTTACACTTTTTTAAGGGCATATAATATATAGGGCAGGAAATGGAAAAGCACAATAGACATAAAATTTTCTATGAACATTTATACAACACAAGTATCTTTGAGATGTAGTTATAGATAGGTAAATAGACTCACATACATTGCTGAGTTAAAACAGAAATAGATTATGTATGCATTTTAGACAGCATACAAACTTGGCCTTTGGGGGTTCACTTATCTTTTGCCAAAATTACACTACCGGTAGAAAACAACGAACATCATCATCACAAAATCCAGCATTTTGTAAAGGCCAGAATGGCAAAAACAGTAACAGTAACCAATAATTCTGAAAAACATTATTTAAAAAAATATATCTAAAAAGCCATTATGAGAGATTATCACATAGGCCCAATTATTTTTCTTCTATCTTTTCTCTGTCTATAGCTTTCATAGACTTTAAAGTCCCCCCCTCCTTGATTTACCATAAGGCTAGCATATTTTACTATAATCATATTTCTTTCTCTATTCAGAATTTGATAAGACACTCTTAAATAACCTGAGCACAAGAGGAAGATGTTTTGATATAAATATCTTTTTTTAATACCTAACTTCTTTTATGCTTTTTACATTTGCAATTCTGATTTACAGCCTGCTTGTGTAACCACAGTGCAATCAGGCAGTTTAGTTATATGTAGACACAGTTATTTAATATATC